CCTGCTGCTGAGGAAAGCTGTTGTGTTTTGACTGACATTGTCTATGGTCCTGTAATGTAATATTCATAATGTGTCACAGAGTAAAACATCAATTTGAGCATGATGCAGATTTCATGTCTGACAAGGTTAGGCTGAATGCAGGTCGTGACAGCACTGAGCCTTGGGCAATAAATACCCAGCCCAGCGCCTCGGGAGAAGGCTCTCTGAAGTGCAATGCCCCTGTGTGCACCAGTGGTGCCCCAATTAGTGCAATGACATAGAAACACTAGATCTGCACTCTGTGGTGTGGGGCAAGGTTAACTGTCCTGACCAGGCGGCTCCTCTGTGGCCGTGTGTGGTACTACAACGACAACACTCATGTTGCCTTAGCAATAATGTACCGAACACTTATGTAACTCATACACTCAGTCAAAATCAAGATTCAAGATTTTATTTTTAATTTGTAGAAAAACCACATTGGAAAAAGTGTGCAAGACACCAGTGTGAACCAGTGAAAGGGAGATTAAAGAAAGCCTCTCTTTAAAGATAAACTCTGTGTATTTGTTATGAATCCATGAAGTGCAAATGTTTATGTAAGGGTCTAATGTTGAGAGGGCAAAACCCACTCTAAAACAGAGGAAGTGAGTCTGGGGAAGACAAACATATGTTAGTGATGAATCTAAGATGATTTGGTTATTGAAAACACAAATATTTACCAATGCTATGTTTACTCTCAAGCTTATTACCAAATTAGAAAACAAATTAGCATCACGTGAGTCTCCCATGGTGTTATCAGTTTGCAATAGTTTGTGAGTAAACAACATGGAAGCAGACTTTTAAAGTGAAATATACACTCTTCACACTAAAATTGATTTGAACCCATTTCCTGGTCGAAGTTCCTGGAATGATCTGATACTGTAAGGGCAACAGTAGTCCTTCCCTTAAAGGGGGAGAGAGAGTGCAGAAGGCAACAACATAACACGTTTGTTAGTAGATGAATTAACAATTATTTGGTCATTGAAAACACCAAATATCCATCAATGCTGTTAATGTTGACAGTCCATCCCATATATTATTGAGCTGACATGTTTGATGGTGTTAACAGAGTGACTTGATCCCCTGTCTGCCCCCCAGTGCCCTCCCCTATCCTCCCAGTGCGGCGCCCCTGAATCATTCATGTCCCTGTGCGTCAGCCTCGCCACCTGCTCCGACCTTCTGATGCTGGACCACCGTCACGTGTGTTGTATTAGGCGTGTCTCCCAAGGGCATCTTAACATATCATCAAATCAGCCTCAACAAGGTCACACAGGAGCCAGAACAAACGTCTCTGTTTCAGGAAGCGTTCAAAACACGTGACATTATAATATTTCAATCCATCCATGTTCAAATCTAACACAAGAGAACTGTGCCAAATACATTTCATGTTTAAGGATGCTGATGATACTGTAGCTGTAATGGTACACACAGTACACACAGTACACACACTGTTGTAATAGTACACACAGTACACACTTGGTTGTAATGGTACACACAGTACACACACAGTTGTAAGTACAGTAATACTCTGACGCCGGGGAATACCAACTTTGATGTTTTTAATTTCCACTACACATTGAATCCTGCACCAGTTTTAGAGTGTAGTTAAGAACAATGTGCAGTTTCATTAAAAATATGACTGCACCAGATTTAGCCCCATGCTACTTTCCATCTGTAGTCCTTGACAATAAAGACATAACAAACATATTCAAATAGAGCTCAGTAAAAAGTTACCAGTGTAGTAACAGTCCCCGGGCCCCATCTCATGAACCAGAGGTTGTCAAACCCCAGGCCCGTGGGCCAAATACGGCCCGTCAGACACCTTTTTTAGAGGCCCCTTGAATTGATTTTTTATTTATTGCTATTAACTTGCAGCAATGATGGTAGCTTTATATGAGCTATCATGTTGTTTATACCTCATTTTAAAATATTCTTTGCAAGAAAACAACAATATAATATATTATGTTCTAAAATTTAAACCCAACACATTAATATAAATACGTAATCTAAAATCCTTTCATTTTTGGTTCAGTCCAAATATACAGTAAATAAACTTGTTTTGTTTGTAAATATCTACCGGAAAATATTTTTATTTAAAGTAATACTTTTGTCAAATACCTTCACTGTGTAAAAAATGCATAAACCTAAAGGAAACCTGAACAGTGTCTGCAGGTTTTCTCCTGGTGCTCCAGTTTCCCCTGCCATTAAAAACATGAACAATAGGTATGAATGTAATGAGTGAGTGAACGGTGTCTCAGTAACTTTTCTGGAGGTCTTACCATCGCGAGACATTCTCCACCAAATCCCAATGCTGTCTGCTGTTGATGTGTCCTTGGGCAAGACACTTTACCGCACTTTGCCTATGAGGAGCACAGAAGTAACAGCACACTGCCTGCCTTGATGTGACATGTGTGTATGTGTATATGACTTCTCCATTGTGAGATCATTAAAGTTTATCTTCTTCATCAAGAAGTAGAAGGGTTAGCATTAGCATGGGCCGGTGCATGCATTCTAAAAATCTCCACAATTTGACCTGATATTTACTTGAAGTCTATATCCATATCTTAATTAATCTGTCCACAACAGGTATTAACAATTCCCTGATGTTCATCCAACTTGTTTGCGATCACGGTCCCGTCCCAACACACACACGTGGCCCTCCTCTCCCGGCGCCCGCTCGGACTCACCGCTTTAACCACAGCATTCCGCGCTCATAATCCGCAGGTGCTGAAAAGCGTCTCGCCGCATCTCAACTCATCGCCCCCCCCCCCCCCCCCCCCCCCCCCCCTGCACCGCGCCCCTGTCCTTTCACACCCTCCACTTATGGGTGCTGCGGCCCGCCTGCCCCATGGCCCGCAGACGCATCCTTGACACACTATGGTCCCTCTATCCCCTGCCTGGCTGCACGTGAAAGACCCTCTTGTCATCGGCGTGTTTCAGCCATTATCTTCTGACGTTTCCCTGCCTCCCAATGAAAGACGGGAGTTCGTTTGAGAGCCTGGCGGAGATGCGCTGATGCGGGCCGACTGACAGCTGTGGCAGGCGGCTGGCTCCTATCTGCTTTCGTGCTATTTATACGTCGCACTTATTCTTATCGGCTTTTGAAGGTTATTACATACAAGGGAGGATCATTGCGCTTGATTCGTGCTCGTGACTGGAATCAGACTAAACATCTTTTCAACTCGCGACGAGGTGTGATTTACATATGTGCGTTTGTGTCGTGTTGATTGGTGTATCACAGAGTATACGCCGCCGCTTGTGTTTTCACTGGACGCACAAAGAATATCAATGAAATGTGTTAGTGAGACAACTCCAGACAAGAAATGATTACGGCGTGTGTGAGATCTGAGCGGGACGCATTGACGAGTGCTGTTGTTATTTTTGAGCTGACTGAATCTTACAGTATGCATCGTACTGACCGAGTAAAGGGCGATGTAACAACATGTAATAAAGTGAAACCTTTCTCCTGTAGTTCCTAACTGTAGCTTTATTGCTCGAATTTGGCTTCAAGGAAACTGGCAACCCAAATGATACTTGTTCTGATACTCTCTCTGTGGGAGGCACGGTGGGGCAGTGTTAGGAGTTTGTGTGTCACAGCAAGAAGGTCCTGGGTAAGATTCCACCTCCAGGCCTTTATGTGTGGAGTTTGCATGTTCTACCTGTGTCTGCATAGGTTTCCTCTGGGTGCTCCGGTTTTAGTGGTTTTAGGGCTACCACTAAAACACACCAGTGTGTTTGGCGTCTCACCTCCGTCATCACTGAACTCATCTGAACTCTGAACACCGTAAAGTGCTTTGGTTGACCTTGGCCTATAACAATGCGGTATATAAATAAAGATTACAGACGTACTGATCCAATTAAATGCCATTACAGATTATAACGTACTAAAAAGTGTAAGCAGAAATGGACAAAGTGGAAGAAAATGGATGGAAGGATATTCTGGAATTTTCCATTTTATATATAATATATATAATATATATATATATATATATATATATATATATATATATATATATATATATATATATATATATATATATATATATATATATATATATATATATATATATATATATATATATATATATTATATATATTATATACAGTATATATAGAGAGGTCAGGGGCATGTGGGATTGTTTTTAACCAAACTGAAAAGCATTGATTGATTGATACTGTCTGATTCAAATTTTGAGAATCTCAGCAGAACATATGACCAACATTCTACTTGTTCTACCCACATAACTTTCTTAAATATGAATACAGGACCTCAAAACGTATCAATTGAAGCTATTATAACAAAACAAAAAAAACTGTAGAGGAGTATAGGGAGCGCTGCATGGATGTAGAAATGTGAGATTTAATCCCACCAGGTGCTCTTTGGAAGTTGCGGGTCCCTATTGCAAATACAATTCTGTTAGAAACACAAGCAAACAAAAAACTCTAAGACACCACAATGTTGAATAAAAAAAAAACCGCACCAACACATTTCAGTCCTGCATCGCATGGACTCGGTCCTCGTTCTACAGTCTGAGTCCTGGATCTGTAGCCCGAGCGAATCCCTCCCTCAGTGTGGGCCTCCCCGAGGTTTCTCACTTTTTTCCCACTGGGTTTTTAGAGTTTTCCCTTGCCGATGCAGGAGGGTCAACGTCTAAGGACAGTGGTGATGATCCAGGACACTCAACATTCAATAAGATTTATGGACTTTATCAATATTTATGGACATTTGTCATCTGCCTCTTTTGGACGTGTTTTCTATTATTGCATTGATTGCGTTTGAACTACTTAATTCTCTGATCTGTGTTGGCGAATCGACAGCTTTGTAAAGTCCTCCAAGAGAACCACTGTTGTGATTTAGGGCTATACAAAATAAATTGATTGAAATTGACTTCCTCAGAGTGCATAGAAAATAAACTACATTGACGTTCAAAGTAAGTCTCCCTGGAATTGTTTTGTATTTATCTCTTTACTCCTGCTTCCTACAGATACTTCGTCCTCCACAAATTACCGCAGCTCAAGTTCTTGGACACCAGGAAAGTGACCAGGCTGGAGGCGCTGGAGGCGCAGGCGAGGGGCGAGTTCATGAAGGTGGTCAAGCCCAGACGGGACGCAGTAAGTGACGCTCCTATTGTCTTTACGAGCCTCTCCGCGCGGTCCTCGGTTTGGAGTTGGATTTTGTGGCCTTCTCCTTCACCCTGTGCTCCCCTTTCATCCTGCCTCCTCTGAGTCGCCCTGACAGTGGCTCTACCTTCGCATGGGGCCCTCTCCTTTGAACACGGGCCCCCGGTTCCTATTGCTTTAAGTGCTGCTGTCCGTGTGAGTGAGCTGATTGTGAATGCATGAGGCCAGATCAAAGGCGACTGGCCGCGGTCCTCTGGCGGCTCCGTTGCCCGCGGTGACGTGCTCAGCCATCGGAGTGACAGCTCACGTACATTCCTCTGGCAATCGCTTAATTATCCACAGCGCGCGCACTTAGCCCCTGTTCTGACGGAGGGGGCAGCGCCGACAAATTAGGAATCACAAAGGTTCACGTGTGTTCGCACCACTGTTTTGATCTTCAGTGCGATAAGAGGAGAACCTAAACTGCTCATTACTGCAAATGTCAGGGTTCATACCGTCACCCATATCCAGAAAGTTATTACTATGCCTCGTGCAGTGGTCCAGAGCGTTTTGGAGTTGTAGCACCTTTTTATTGAAAACAATCACATGAAACTGACACATAGATGAAACTCTGCAGCCTTTGTGAACAATGCAACGTCATTCTCATACCTGTACATACGCTCATGCCGCTCACATGTACACATGTATACTAACTATATTCTTCCTTTATATACTCGCTTCTTTATTTGCTTCTCTATTACGCTTAAGCTAGAGATTTGATACTTTTATTCTTTTTTATGCTAAAGTTTGAGTTTTTATTTTATTTAGTATAAAGTTATTGTTCATGTATATCTTGTGTTGAGAGCTCCTCATTCCCACTGGTCAGCAACCGATGATGCAACACTTACATTTCTCCATCATGGGAAGAATAAAGGTTCTCTTATTTTATATAGACAATCAAACAAGAGAAAAACCAAACAACTTCTCAAGGCACACAAATGTGCCACGGACCACTGGTTGAAAAACACTGGTTTAGAGGAGATGTTCTGAACTGAAGCAGTGTAGGAAACCACCACAGAAATGTCATGAGACGATGAGCAAAAAAGAACCGAAAATAAATGTAGAACATAAATAATGTAACATGTACTGTATGTACTGTATATTTTCTACAGTAAATTTGTCCTGAATGAATTAACTTTTTTTTTTCCTTTTATTTAAATTAGTGCTGTCCAACGATTAAAATATTTAATCGCGATTAATCGCATGAATTTCATAGTTAACTCGCGATTAATCGCAAATTAGTCACACATTTGCGTGCTGTGTGCAATTGCTTTTTTTTATTGAAAACAATGTGTAGTGTTATATTACACACTAACATTTGATGCAAAATCATCAATAAATGGATGACAAAATAAATAATTGGTAACAAAAAGCCCCTTCAATGTGTGTGTGTGGGTGTGTGTGTGTATGTGTGGGTATAGACCATAGACTGTATAGAAACATCATGGTGTCATTATGATGATGATAAACAATCTGTAAATATTTTGTAAATTTGTTCATGTAAATACTCTATGCTGTTTCTCTGTTTACCTTCGGTATATCTATGACTGTATACTGTTTGCTTGTATTGCCTTTTTTATTAACCCCTCCCCCCATCTCCCACTTCATGTCCCCCCCCCCCCCCCCCCCCCCCCCCTCCTATGTGTGCCCTTCTGGGTTTCTTCTTTGGCCCCCTGTATCTCCAACTACATATTGTTTGTAATCTCTGTCTACAATGTATCTGAACTAGTCCTTTTCTTTGTTTCTATTTTTTTTTCTGTATATGTGTTTGTCTGCAATAAAAAGTAAAAAAAAAAAATAAAAAAAAAAATCTTTTTTTTTTTTTTTTTTTTTTTTTTATCGCGCGATAAAAAAAATGACGGCGTTAATATTGATTTGCGTTAACGCGTTAATAACGCGCTATTTTGGACAGCCCTAATTTAAATACATTTCCCTGGAAAGGCTCACGACCCACTTAAAATGATCCCCTAACGGCCGTCAACATGCTTTTTTTTTTTTTCTTAAAGTAACACAGGTGTGTGTGTGTGTGTGTGTGTGTTTGTGTGTGTATGGTAATGGTTGGTGATGGTCGGACTAGCTGATGGCACAGACTGGTCAGTCGGTCTCAGGGCAGCTATGACTACAGTAGTCGCATCACTGTGTTTGTAGTGAATTAATAATATCATGTGATGAGTCTTTGAGTATTAAAAAGTGCTGTATAATTATTATCATCATTCATTATGTTTACAGTACTCCTGTAAGATGAAACAGACGATACAGTGGCCTCTGTCTGCATGAAGCTCTTGGGTTCAACTCCCCAGTGGCACAGGACCTTTCTAGAGTAGAATTTGCATGTTCTCCCACGTTTCCTCCTGGTGCTGCCGTGTCCCCTACCTCTGTAAACACGTACAATATCCCCTCCTCTACTCTGCGGCCAAGACTCAAAGAGATTCTAAAATCCCAGTGGGACATGGTTAAAAAAAAGACAACAAACCTTGTGTTGTGACATCCGTAAATGATGTTATATTTACAGTCGAGACCATCGCTGTCACTCCACGACCTCCAGGGTTTGAACCTCCATCTGAAGCTGCTTTAAGTCACAAACCAGAAGCATGTGTGGCGCGGCTAAAAGTAAACAACACATTTATTGTTTAAGCAATCAGCAACAATAGTGTATTCTTTTAATGTCACTTCATGCACAGCTTTGTTCTCCATTCGTCACGCAAATGGCAAACGCGAAAGGTAAACACTAAAATAATTTAACCTCCGCGTGGCATGTTTGACTTTATACGAAAAGAAAGCGAGAGACTGCAGGTTTTTTTGTTTTTTTTTTCTCCCCGCAAGGGTAAAAAGGACTTTATATGATTTTATTTACATAGCCTGTCAGTGGGAAAGAAATGTTTGGCTTTGTCGCCACCGCCGCAGATGAAAGCACAGATAATCATTGATTGGAGCTGACATGACGCGCAGAGTTTTGTGTCGGATTGTCTTTGAACGTGCCGCGCGTGATTATTTATTCCGTATGCGCCAGTAAAAGGTTGGAGCTTTGATGAAATGGCTGGCGTGGCACATCTTCGTCTCTCTTATTAGGAGGCTAAGTGCGGAGCGATAGGAAGCCTCTGTCGCTGTACCGTTTGTCACAAGTCAAAACGAACAAGTCGAGAGCGCCGTCTGCATCTGGGGGAGCGTGGAAGTTGACCGATAATGAGCTCAGCCGATAGCGAGGGTTCGTGTGACATCATTACATCGTGAGGAGGCAATAGTTTGGGGCAGATTTTCTAATTAGAAGTGTCTGGTTTATGGTTGTCCTTAAACTATCTGTATTTAACAAAAACTGGCTCAGAGTTCCAACTTCTCTGTCCTCATGAATTACCTATGCCAATTTTTGCAAAACAATTTCCAACACGCAATAAATGTTCTGTCAACAAAACACTTTTTTTATGGACATTTATCAACATTTATGGACATTGTTCATCTGCCCCTTATGGACCAATACCAATGTGTTTTCTATTTAATTTCTCGTGTTAGAGCTGTTTGAATCTGTGATTTGTGTTGGCAAATTCAACAGTTTTGACCTTTTAACTTGTGTTCCGATTTAGAGCTGTATATCAACATTTTATTTTGATCACCTGTAAAAGTTGTTGAGTAATTTTATTCATTAAACAAAGTCAAAAAGTTATTCTGTTTTGTTGAAATTGTGTGAGGGAGGAGAATACGGTTCGTTTTAACCTTTCTCCTACTCCTGAGAGTAGCATCAAATTCTCAATGTGCTCACAAAAAATGCAAATAAGTTGGTCCATCAATTACTGTCTGTCTGTCTGTCTGTCTATTCATCTGTTTATGTATCTATCCATCTATTGTCTATCTATCTATTCACCCCTCACACTGCAATAATACACTGAACACAGTTTGATGCATTTCTATAACGTTGATTACTTTTGTAATGATTGGATTTCTTCTGTTGACAGCCGCGAGTCGCCCGCCGTGTGTATTGAACCATTAGATGACACAAAAGTCAAGCGAGCGCGCTGCTAATGAATGTCCGACCAAAGTACAAAACAAGATGGTATAATTAGACATAAGTGTGTGTTGCTGCTCGCGAGGCGTTGCTCATAACAGAAGCTCTCGTCTTACCAGCGATCCCATTTGCTCCATTACAAAAGACGGTAATTAGCGGTCTGGCTGTCACTAGCGCTAGCATTTGAGTCTCAATTAGCCTCGCTATCGGAATAACGAAACGCAATATAATAGCTTATTCATGACAGTATTTGACTTGGACTTGTGTGTTTGACAGTTGTTTTTTTTTTTTTTTGCGTTTTTTTTCTCTTTCCACTTTCCCTCGAAAATCCAAAATGACAAAAATCTCCCCTACTGTTTACTGTAGATAAATTGGAAGCATAGCAACATAGCAAGTGCGCGCACACAAAACGCTGATCCGTGCCCGCCGTGACGTGACGCCATCGGCCCTGGAAGAATATGGCCCCCGTTCTGTCAGAAGGCTCCCCACGCATGATGAGCATATTGGAACGGTTAATGCGAGGGGAAGGGGAAGGCGGGGGTGAACTTTGGAGACCTCTTCATACAGTCGGATTGGAGTGACTCGCGACCGCAGTTTAAACTCCTTTTCAATCATGCCATTACTGGGCTGGCACCGGGCGCTCCACATGGTTCTGATAAAAAGAGCTCTGCGCATAAAGACGAACACTTTTTATATGTTGGAAGTGTTTTCCCCTGTGGGTTAGATTAAGTACAGACTCGGGGCTAGTGGTTTGGTGCGTAGAGGAGCGCTCACGCATTCAACAGGCCCAAGAGGAAAAGACAAATAAATTACGTTATTTTTGTGTGGAGTTTATAGTGTGATGATGTGACAGACACAACACAGATGCAAAACATATTTGGACTTTAATGAAAAAATACTGTTTATCTCTGTGTGTGGTTGCAACAGCGGGTTTTTATTCTTAAACTGTAACTCA